GTCTGTGGAACACCTTGGTTCGCGCTCGTACGTCAACGTACAACAGCTTTACTAATAACTCCCACTCCGCATGTAAGAGCTGCTCTAGAAGTAGCTACGCGCCCTTCTACATTAGATCTAGCAGGTTCCCTTCCCCACCTTACAAAAGCAAGAGGTACTAAAAGTAGTCAAGCCTAACCTCGAGCCGAAGCTTAACTTCTGCCCCAAACTCTTAAAGCCCGTGGCAATCCCAACCTATCCCAACGATTCCTATTCTTTTCTTTTTTTTGCGTCAATTTTTGAACCTGTAACTTAGCTTACTACTCACTCTCTACGGGTTTGAGTGCTACGTAAAGCTCAAGGCCCTGCAACCTCTCCTCAGTTTTATTACGAGCCTCCGAAACTCCTAGCTCCGTACTCACTTCTGGGTCTATGCTAACATTCTAACATTGCTCTCCGCTTTGTTTCTCCTCTCATAGGTCAGAAGACCCTTGAGCTCATCCTGAACACGAAAACTCATGACTGACTGCACGACGTCTTTGGTCTCGAAATATATGTGACCTAAAGTATCACGGTATAAACCCCGCTCAACCTGTTCGACACCGTGCCAATATCTACGGTTTCGTGTGCTCACCAAACAGCGCTAATACGGTGGTCCAGTTATTCTATCTCATCTGGGTTTAAACCATACACCTGTGGCTGTACACGAACCTGGTTGCATAACGTGTTACTGAACCTTTGACCTGTAACAAGGTTCAAAAACTAATTATTTGGGTAACAATTGTGCCCCTATAGCTATCACTTGCTGCACGCCGTTTACTGTTTGGTAGCCCTTAGCTCCTAAGTCTCAATTTTGGTGTCTGTCTTCGTTTCACTAGCACATTCGATATACGGCATAGTCATTGCGTACGGGTATAACGCCAACAATGCTACTTCTGTGTAAAAGGAGCTCTTCTGTTACCTGGGCCCCTTGGCGCTCACTCTAATGATTTTTAAAATTCTGAACTTTTCCGAGCCTGCTGAGCCTGTACATCTCCCGTCTTCGGCGTCTTTCTGTGCACAGTCCCTAATGCGGCCGGGACGGGAATTCTGAGTCTAATGTATTATCTGGTATATTGACCGCCTTGCTTAACACTCACTGCTTCAGGCATATCGTGGGTAAGAGAGAATAGGGTAACGAATCGAAGGATGTTTGTTTGAATGGAGGTAGTACCGAGACACAAGGTTTACGCCGTCGGGATGTCTTCGGCTCTGATCATGAATAGGCAAACGCGCCCCAGGGCAGGCGTCCCCGGGGCCGGGATGAATTACAAACGGGCATGCGAGCAACCGCTATGGAGCCTATGGAAGTATTGATGATGAAAGATGATGATGGGAGCATGCCGATGATGAGAGGAGTTATTGGAGTAGAAGGGCAGTGAGGAAAGTGGGATTTTTGCGGATGTAGATGTGAAAAGTCTCCGAGGCCCAACGCCCAGTGGCACAAATAAGGTGAAGAGGGACACCAATTTCTGCTAGGCCAGTAGCACCACCAGAACGGATCGACTGGCCTGCAATGTCATGCCGGTTATATAAACTCTTCAGCCTATCCATGAACCAAGACCGGGTGGGCATAGAGCCATCTGCCCGCAGCCAAAGCTGCCAATGGGTGGGAAAACGGCTATCGCGAGATTTGATGTAATCAAGAAAAGGGTTATATGGATCGATCTCGGTGGGGAAACGAACATGACGACGAATAATCACTTTATTTCCTTCGAAGAAAGGATCTGCTTTGTGTTGAGGTAGATCAAAACCATACCCTTGGAGATACCACTTCACCGAATCACGTCTTGTCCGTTTCCGTAGGTTTTGGTGTTTCCTGACATCAGGAAGGCACAGCTCTGCAAGGCGAAGTAAACCAAACCAACCTGTCAGCAGCAAAGCAAGAAAAAGCAGATCGTCATGAATGCGCCGATGACGATAATGCTCCACTGCTCGAGCCAGGTCGGAAATCGAAAGAGGCGATTTTCTTTTGGTGGGTTTGCTGTATAAACGGCAACATCCTCGGAGGGTTTTCCGTACCATGCGATGGTTTCGGATTGCCCGAACATCGTCATAAAAGTCCTCGAGCTCGTTGCAGATACCAGAGAGGTATTTCTCCACCGATTTCGGATCGATGCGCTGTACATCATTGTTGCACAGCCAAACAATGTAAAAACTGAAAATATCGGGTGTAGGTTTATAGGGGAATTTGTGAACGTCGCAGAAATAAACGTAGGAGTTGAGAGCAGATGTGTATGAAGAATGTGTAGATGTATCAATAGCAGCACCAACTGCAATAGAGCGCTCAAATTTTAGACGCTCGAGAGACCACGGCTTCCGAGGTGGTTGCCGAGATCCCTCCGACAAGGTAGGGTTCATTTTTTGAGTGCCCCCAACGTGCTTTGAGGGGGTTTGAAATAGAGAGATGGTTGGTAAAAGAATGAAATGCGACCAAGCCCTGAACTCAGCGGCAAGGTAGTATCAAAAAACGCTCGAAGAAACAAAGAATTGCGACCAAGCCCTGAACTCAGCGGCGAGGTAGCATAGAAAGATACTTGAGGAAAAAAGGAACCACAACCAAGCCCTGAACTCAGCGGCAAGGTAGCAAGTCGTAGCAGCAATGAAAAGAGAAAGAAATTACGACTGAGCCCTGAACTCAGCAACTCAGTCATAGATTTGAAAAAGAATGACATTAACAACACCAGCGAAAAACACACCAACTCCACCCAAAGTATTACCTCCCAATCAGTTCTTCTCTGTCTTCCCCTCTTTACACTCATGAGCACCATGTCCCTGTCGCCTGCAGTTTGGTCTCGAGCAAACATGCGCAAAATGACAAGTCCCCACACAAGTACCTTGATTAAAACGCTTGCATATTTCAACTCTAGGTCGTTTATCCCTTGAAGACGATGACGAAGAGGAAGTCGAAGCAAGCTGCGCGTTTTCGACCACAAATGCGCCATAGTTTTCAATATGGGTGCGGAATGCGTTCCGAAAAGCATTGTGATTGATGTCCGCGAGGGTGAGGTCACCTCGATTAGCGACCAGGTTACGAACAGCTTTGTCATACGAGATGAGACGAGGATGGAGTGATGGGTCAATAGAGAGAAAGAGATCACCCATATGATTCTCATACGTAGACAGCTCGGAATCGCGATGAGGGAAAAGGTGTAAAGTTGCCCGCTTGAACAAACGAAAAGCTTTGTTCCATTGGGCCTCGTTAGCAACTGTCTTCGTGACCTCGACATCCTTCTCCACTTTAATCTCAAATGCCCCCACCTTCTCCTTAAGCGACTTGGGAACGGCTGGAGAATGAATGCTAGAAAGTACAGCATCAAAATCGCAGACCTTGTTTTGGATAATGGCGTTCCATTCGCTGTCAGGAAATTCAGGTCGACTGACTGACCCCTTGAGCAAATCTTTAAACGCTTTTCCTCCTTGACGGTAGTTCGCAGCGAGTGTATGAGTGGCTCGGGCTCCAGAAGACATGGTCTCGAGAAGGATTTTGTCCTTCGCAACAAAAGGAACGAGGTCTTTATCGAATTTGGACCTCTTACTGCCGTCATCGCTGTCATTAGAAGAAGAGGAGGACGAGGATGAAGAACCGTCCGGAGAACTGTGTCGATGGTGACGACGACGTTTTCTATGGCGCGATCGAGAACCCCTATCGTTCCTCCCAGTGCTACCACCACCATGATTTCCACCCCCTTTGTCAGCTTCACCTTCGGGTCTTGTAGAAGTAGCGTCGTTCCTGGATGTCTCACCCCTCCTAGCTGCGAGGCTGCGCTCGGAATCCAGAGAGTCAATTTGCGCAAGCCATGATTTGATGGATGACTCATGCCCACTTGGAGAACCAGGTAGACTGGTAAGAACGAGTACAACTCCAGTTTGGGCAGAGACTCGGTCAATTTTATTGTCGCGGTAGTCATCGATGATCTTTTGCAACTTCTTGACGGTCCCGTTATCAAAATTGACCCCAGGAGGAGGAGCCTGCTCTCGTTCGTCGGCCGGTGCTCCAGAGTTGATTGAGGACTCGGTTTGGTTAGAGGTGCCCGAGGCAACGGTTGCACTAGAACCAGTAACAAGTTGAGAAAAGCTTGGGCCCGAATTAGAGTTACTTCGTGGGTTAACGGCTCCATATGGTACATAGGTGTTCCCTGCATTCGGACCTGCAGTCGTGTTACCGTTGCCTGCAGAGGAGGCGGTAGCGCTTCGTTGTTCATCGTTGCCTTGATTCTGAGACATTGGTAATGAGCGCGCAGCTCCGAGAGAATGTCGATGTATTCAGAGAATAAAAGTATAAGCGATGAAAGAACTCTGTATACAACGTTCAGTAACCGAGAAGAGGTGAATAATGTGCATAGAACATACCTGGGTACAGCGGGCAGTGAGCGAGAAGAGCTGAAAGACTCGACACATCTGACCGCTGTACCCAGCTTACGCGAATTCAAATTTCTGTTGACGAGGGTGTGATCGCGGTTTTTCCCACGCACTGACCACCTCAAATACTTCCAGGCTCGGGCCTATCTTCCATGTATGCTGCAATTATTTCCGGCCGGAAAAATACTATTTACCTTCCTCTTCAGTACTTCAGTAAGCTTCAGTCCTTAACCATGTCTCACTTCGAAGGGGCCCTTAAAATACTCAAAACCCCTATCTCCAGTTTCTTCTCGAGTCCTCCAGCTCAATATCCTTACCTTCTGATTTGGTCTAATCTCATTTTCTCTCCATGTACTGCGGTACCTTTAGCCTGATTGTAATATACTTTTTCCCACTTATCGCGACCCTTCCTTTTCCAAGAAAACGTTTCTTCTAATAATCACAAAGTCTATACACGCGTTGACTGAGACTGCTATCATGCACTGTTACCTTGTTTTTGTATCCTGCATGCGTTGTCGGACCCATCCTAGAGACACCGCTAACCTTCTGGGCGTTGGTTACTCTAGTCCACGAAACTGTAGGTAAACCGGTTTGAATCCTGTATGAGCTGGAGGGTTGTTGCCCGCTTAGCTCAGTGGTAGAGCGCGCCACTCGTATGTTCCAAACCTGCTTATATGTATTGGAAATGGTGAGGTCGGTTGTTCAATCCAGCCAGTGGGCATGAGCCAGTCCGCAAAACTTTTAAGGTCGCTGAATTTTTGCCCAGCCTAGTGATTGTAAATAAACTTTTAGTCCTCTTTAACCTGGACAAATACTGATATCCTTCGACCAAGCTTGGAGACAGATACTTACTAGGTTTGCGACGTCTAAGAATGGTTCTCCAGCCATCTCGATGTTGATATCCAGTGAGTTATATATGCTACAATGCTCATACAGTTTTCGAAAACACTCTCAGAGTACTTATGTCCTCACTCACGATAACAGCATATGACCACTGATTTCATCTATAAACTATGCATCATTAAAAAAACGATCGACAATGAAACAAAGGAATGTATGTACGTGACTCACAACAGTAAGTAGGACTAGGTATAGTAGAGTAGGTATATATATATATATATAGCACAATTCCAAGTAAAAAAGCAAAAGTAATATGAGAGGAACACTTGTTCCCGAGGGTTGAGAATGGTTCAAAGGTCCAAAGAAGACAGAAATTGTCCGGGAGGGTCAATTGCGTCCATGAATCACAGGCCTGAAAGACGAAGAAAAAAGATATGATATTAGCGCCCGTACGAGCAAAAGAGAGAAAAAAAAAAGAAAAAGGACGCAAATCTACTCACCAAACGACAACGCCGAAAGGAATCCCACGGCTCCCAAAACACCCCAAACCCGAGCTCCAACAGCAATACCCGCGTTATCGTCCTCATTGTTCCCAGTCCCATTTCCTGTCGTCGATCCATCTGCATTTCCACTGACTCCGTCGTCTCCTTTGACACTCACCGGCAGCTCTTGGACATCTGCCGTCGGCTGCGTTTCGATATTCCCGGAACCCACTATGACATAGGATCCATTCGAAGGAATTCCGTTAACTACGACATAAACCCACGCAGGACCTGGTTGGAACACGTTCGGAATAGGTGGCATTTGTGAGACGTGGAGAGTGATAGACCCATCGGATTGGACGGTGTAGGTGTTGTTTAGTTGAAGGTAACGTTGACCCAGGTTCATAGCATGCGTAGTCCATCCTGGACGAACAACGGAGACGAAAGTGTTATCCGCTGCGTCGTTGGCTTTACCCGAGTAGGAAGAGGAAGGGATGGTCACATCGAATGAGTTACCACCGTACGAGAGCGTGCTGGGGATTCCGCTGGGTACAGGACGAGTGGAAGCAGAGAAATAGGATGGGTAGAAGATTTCTGCTTTGTATGTCGTGGGGAACGCTGTAGTGAGGTTAACGTCGACATTGGGGTTACTTCCTGCAATCATCACTGATCCATCTGGTAACAAGATAGCCGAGGAATGGTATAACCGGGGGATACTAGACGAAGAGAACGCGTTGTTGGACCACCTACTACCGGTTGCAGCGTTAGGGTCGTATTCAGCTGGAGTACCGACTGGTCCAGATGCTAAAGACATCCCGAAAGGCATATCCGCATACAGTTCAGTGACAAGAGTACGTTCAGCGTATCCAGCTGTCCCGTTCAACCCTCCATTCACAACCAAGAGCTTTCCGGTGGGTAGGATGATAAACTGCCCCATGGTCCTCGTCTCCAACATATCATCATCTTTCACATACGCCGGTTGAGATCCATCTTCGGGTTCAGGAGTGATGCGATGACAAGCGGATGAAGCGGGTTTTTTCCAAGTGTTGATGAAGGGCCAGGAATAGTTTCCCCAAGCTTGGTTGTCCATGTCGTTACCGCCGCAGAAGAGGATAGTAGGGTTCCAGTTGTTTGAAGGGGTGAGAGGAAGCATGGCGACGGCACCAGAGGCAGGGTAGACTCGGACGATACCATCTGGCATGTCAGGGAGAGGTGTTTCAGTGTTGGTAGCTGGGTCCCAGAGAACTGAATAGAATTAATTGATGGTAGTCCGTCAGCTTCAGAGATTTTTTAGAAAGAATACTGAAACACGCACTTGTTTTGAGGTAGGCTTGCAAAAACATCTTCCCAGACTTCATCAAATAGGTGTGCGCATATGCGTTAAGCCCCGAAGTATCAAACATGAACTGCATCAACTGAGGTGTCTCTCCTGTGGGCGGGTACCACTCAAACGTCGGTTCTGAAGCGTTCCCTTCGAATCCTCTATCCGGCTCGTCCGGACTCTGCCTATTAACGTACCCTCCATTCGCAAAACCTCCAATAATCGCAATCCTTCCATCTCCCAATGGTTCAGCAGCGGAATACCATCTCTGTCTCTGCATCGACAGAACCGAAGGGTCGTCGAACCATTGACAGTTTGCAGAACTCATATCGTCAGCGCTGGTACATGGGTTAAGGATTCGAATAGATTTCGTCCCGTCAAAGTCTTTGTAAACGTCGTCGAATTGAGCTGAGAACCCTCCTGGGTTGAGTTGGGAACCGAGATTGCCTCCGACGGTGACGGCGCCGTTACCGCCAAATGTGACGTAGGAACCGTTGGGGAGATGCATTCCGGATGCGCAGAAGACGTTAGTCTTGATGTCCATCGTTGTTGCAGAGTTGGAGGCGATGTCCCTGTTAAATGTGGTTTTGTAGTGAATCGATATTGATGTGAGATGTCAGCGGGACAAAGTAGAGAGAGTTGAGTGGTCAGACAACGCACCAGACAGCACCCCAAGCTGGATGGTCATTGATGGTTTCAGCATTACCCTCCGCTTTGTCAATAATATACACCTTCTCGTTGTTACCGACGAACATCTACGAGAATAAGAGCCGAAACGTTTCCGCGTCGTGAGCCCAAACGTCAAAGAACAAAGCCAAGAGCGGTCGAAGTACGTACCATCATTGCGCTGATGAGCGTGTCTCCCACTTCTACTATAGACCCAGCGCTCGCTGCCTCAGCGGAGGAGGCAGCAAGCCATGTGGTCAGCATGGAAAGAACGACCAGCATGTTTTTTTTTGTGAATCAGAGGTCGTGTCAGGTGTTTACGGTGACTAGCGAGTATCCACAGACGCGAAGGTGGTGGTATAAACCAAGTAAAGACTGGCGCACAGCAGCGGGAGGGGAAGGAGGAAGAGAAAGAAGAGAAAGACAAAAAAAAGCTGTGACGGCCGACAGTTATGAATGTATTTCGGTTTCCAGGCCGGATAGAATAAAGATCTAATCAGTTGCTTTGTCATGATGGCTGGCCATCTAGACCTTAGACCTTATGGTGTCGCATCGAGTAATTCGTTTCTTGCCCTACTAGCCTCGTCTAGACAACATTGATGAATGGTAGCATTACAAAAGACAGGAACATGAGCTCTGCGCAAGACGAGAGGCAGAGGCAAGAACCAGAACTCGAGCCTCGAGGTGGTCAGTGCGTGTCAACACAGCCACCAGGCACAATCGCGTTATTGCCTCGTTTCAATTCGAGAATCGAGACTCACTGTTAACTCCGAAAATTGTCTCCAAAGTCATCCATGAAGTCTGGAGTCCAATGGCTTTAGATAAAGTCACGACGGTGATCAAGATATAGTACAAAAGGACCCGAATGACCTCAAGATATTTCAAGGCTGTCGGAAGGCTGTCGGAAGTCGGAACCATTCAGTGCTGATGTTGATTTTGTAGCAATGTGACCAAGCAGAAACTCAGTACATAAATCTCTATTTGAATTCTGAGCTTTCGTCTTTATTTGTATACTTTTCTTCTGTTTTCCATGCTTCAACTTATTTTTGGGCCTTGGCTTGACTTTGGAAAGTCTCCATGTGAGATAAAATTGAATAAATATTTATGTATCTTGTTCTTTTTCCTCGCTCTAAAACAATTCCATTTGTCATTCTGGCTTGAATCGCCAAATTACGATTATTATTGGCATTATTAGTACTCACCTGCCATAGAGTTGTGAAAAAAAATCAGGGTGGGAGACTTGAGTCAATGATGTATGCATAACTACTTATCTCAGTCCCCAAGTCTGGTCATACTAATGGTTGTAGTGAATACTGTTTCCTGTCATTGTGTGACCAGGCTCTTACTTACTGATAAGTGAGTTAAATCACTAGGGTAGATTGAGCCAAATTTACACTGGCTCAGGAGTATTAGTCAGATGAATAGTTACCAAAGCATACTCATTTCCTTGCATCTTACTTTCTGACTAGTACAAAGAAATACTTAAGGCCAAAAAAAGACATTGTTTGAAAATGATTTCTAAATACATTTGAGAGGGGAACAGATCTTCTTACTAGAAAGCTGTATAACTTGTAAATTATGGAAACTACCAAAGCAAAGAAGAACAATTGAATGGGTGTGTTGGCAAAAAAGAAACCTACAGTGGAGAATGATTGTTTGAGTAAGAATTCAATGGAAATCAAAATTGAAATACAGTACCTTGAACATAGCCATCTTGATTTGAAGTTAATTGAATTATCCTTGGACTGTAGAGGTATCAGCACCTGCATCTAGCAGAAGCTGAACAACATCTTTATGTCCTTTATATGTAGCAGCCTGAAGTGCATTTCCAAGTTGACCACCTTGAGCATTCACATCTGCACCTGCATCAAGCAGAAGCTGAACAATATTTTTATGTCCAATAAGTGAAGCAACCTGGAGTGCATTGCTATATTGACCACCTTGAGCATTCACATCTGCACCTGCATCCAGCAGAAGTTGAATAACATCTTTACATTCCCTAGATGAACTTGAAGCAGCCTGAAGTGCACTTCCACATTGATCACCTTGAGTATTCACATCTGCACCTGTATCCAGCAGAAGCTGAACAATGTCTTTACATCCACGACATGAAGCAGCCTGGAGTGCATTTTCATATTTACCACCTTGAGCATTCACATCTGCACCTTCATCCAGCAGAAGCTGAACAACATCTTTATGTCCATTATATGAAGCAGCCTGAAGTGCATTTCCATATTCACCACCTTGAGCATTCACATCTGCACCTTCATCCAGCAGAAGCTGAACAACAGCTTCAGGTTCAAGTCCCTCATCAGATGAAATTGAGGCAGCCTGGAGTGCATTGCCATATTGACCACCTTGAGCATTCACATCTGCACCTGCATCCAGCAAAAGCTGAACAACATCTCTATG